CTCTCTCTCTCTCTCTCTCTCTCTCTCTCTCTCTCTCTCTCTCTCTCTCTCTCTCTCTCTCTCTCTCTCTCTCTCTCTCTCTTCTCTCTCTCTCTCTCTTTCCGCTAGACGTGTGGCTGTCTTCGTGTTCCGATGGCTGGCACGAAGAGACACGTAATGGCCGCTCGATGCAATGTGGCCGATGAAGAAGAAGGTTACCACTCTGATCGTGGTATAAGCGTATGCTTCCTCGGTGAACAGCGCGCCAAGCGACAGAGCAGAAGCGGATGGCAAGGGCGCCACACATACAATTGCATATGACGCTGTCATATAATAATATAAGAAAAATGGAAAAAGTTTTTATAATTAATAATATTGCACATATAATGAAATCAAGTAACGGTGCATCTGATAGTGACTCTGATACAATGGAGAAAATATTAATAATATTAAAGAAAAGTAGATCAAATTTTATATCTAAAATACGTTGTAGAAGATGTAATATCTCGATATACAAACAAAGAATTTAAAATTCACTTTCGGTATATTTTTATAATCTTTTATTCTTTGTAGATACGATAAACTGTTTCTGTAATTTTACTAAAATATATTTATTTTAGATTACATCGGAATACATTTTTTTTATATTGGAATTAATAGGGCCAATCTTAGAAAGGGATGGAAAATCAGGTAGAGGCATGATTTCTCCTGAAAAACAATTAAAGCAATAATTTCGTATATAATAATGTTTATACAAACTTGGTGTAGCGCGAATGATCGAATCTGCTACAATATATCAAACTTTATTATTATTTCGCAATGCTTTTTGTGCATTTTCTTTATTTATTATTATTTTATATTGAATATTTGTTTCTGCACCGAGTAGGGTTAACTCTTCTTTCTCGAACGTCGCCATTTTGTACTATAACTGTTGAGTCTTTTTAGCTACAGTAGCCGCAGCAGGAAGTGACGACAAAATTTATGACGTCATTATTCTATCGTAGTGCTATCGCAGCACACTGGAATGAATTTCGGAACGGCATTACAGTACTATCAGTACTGGCAGTGAGTTACGGAATGCAGCCCAAGTCTCCTTACACCATGGGTGTAAATGAGTAGACTTATTTCTGCTGATTCTTATATATTTAATTGTAATTATTTTAATAACTCACAAGACCTTTTAATGACACTTCATAATTTCTTTATACAAAATACAAACAATTCCATATGAAAGCATTGTCTAACTTATCTTCGATTAATTCCTTGGGCTAAGTACATGATATAAAAATGAATTAATTACAATTAACTGAAAGACTCAAACGTTTCAAATACTTAAAAACTCATGTACTTACTCAAGTACTTAAAAACTCTTCATACGAAATACAAACAATCTAAAATAATAATTCTTTAAACCGATATACTTCTCGAGTCAAGTACATACGAATGTGTCGGACAGTGTTACACTGTGTCATCTGTGTATCTTGTTGGAAAACAGCCTTAATGTATAAATTTTAATTGTGAAAAGGGATTTCCAAAATCTATAAAAATAATACGTTGATAAAGAATATCGCAATTTATTGTTAATATAGACAAGTTTAATATCCCTTCAATTAAGAATGATTTTTTTTATCTTCTAGTCAAATCAGCTGAATTGTTATGTCAACCAAGTACTCGTAGTCAACGATATTGATGACATGCTTGCAATTTTGCTTTACAATTGATCGAACTGATTTGCGCTTTTTCACGATCTATTTTCATAATTTTTCAAAAGATTATGTCTTCCGCGATCATTTCCACAATCTTTCGAAAGACTTTTTGCGACTTTTGCAATTTCATAGTTTTCAATTTCGCATGGCATGATTGTTGTGCTTTCGTATCGTTTTAATTACGAACTACACTAATGCTCGATTTCATTAATGTAGATTAATTTTAATCTCGATTCAACTTACTCTTCTTTTTCTAGTTTTAAGAATTAGAAAAAGATGAAGAATAAGTTAAACCAAAATTAAAGTAAATCTACATTGGTGGAATCGGGCATAAATCTTATAGGACCTGTTTAAAATCTCCTTTGTCAACACGAATACAAATTTTAACTTATCATTAACTCTCGAATGCTGTTATCTTCGAAGTATTATGGATTGTTTCACAGCCTTCAATAATAATTTCACATATTTATTTACTCACAATTTCACAATGTTTCCGAAATAACTCTGCAAAAAATATTTCTAAAACCTATATTCACACTTTTATCCTAAAGTATGAGGAATAGGTCCCCAAAGTTTTGTCATACATTTTAGTTACACTCCTCATATTATACAATTGAAATATATTTTTAGTAAAATCGCATTGCTCTAAGGATATGATTTTCTCAAAGAACTTCATAACATAATATTTCAGAGAATTTATCCTTGTAATCATGTAAGAAAGCACATTGGTTAAAGTATGATCTTTTTAGAGGTTTCAACCAATTTTCTATTGAAATTTCAATTAATAAAGTTTTAAAAGTTGTTTCAATTGATGGACGAGTGACAAGAAGTGTTCCTGGTTTCATCACAGTTTTCAGAAATTTCCATATATCTATTTGTATGTCTTTAGATAAATAAAATTCGAATGCATTATTAATGATAATAACATCGCTTTGTTTGACTATCTCTGGAACTTCTTCTATTCTTCTATGGAAAATAGATATACGATCATTCATTTTGAATTTATGTATAATTTCATTCTGAAGATTGCAAAATTCTTCATTCATTTCGACGCCAATAATTTTGTTAGCATCTGTATATACATATGCCTAAAAAATACGAAAATTATTATAAAAATTATTGCTATAAACAAAAGATTTCTTTTTCAATGATTTATAATGTTAATGTCAGCTAATGTCAACTATATAATAAATATATATTGTCTTTTAATATTCTTACCCCATAAAGAACTGCACCTAATCTTGATCCTATATCAAGTACTGTTTTATTTTTCAAAGTAGGTAATAGAATATTAAATATAAAGTATAATCCATCTTGTGACATAGAATGTGATATATAAACTAAAATTATGAATATGAAACAGTATGCTTACAAAATATTACAATTATGAAAAATAGAAGAAAAATAATTATATTTTAATTTTACTTACTCAATGGCTGTATATTTCTTGATCCACAATCAACACAATAGTGTCTTTGTAATTGATCATCTGTAAGTTCATTAATATCTTCATCGCTATAAAGAAATTCATCAATATGCAATGTAATATCAGGATCACAATCCGAATTCTAAAAAATGAAATATATTTAATGTTATTTAAAAGAAAACAAACAAAATAATTGTCTTTATATTTATTTCTGATATGACATACCTCTCCTGTTAAAGGAGTTATAATATTTTCAGATGACAATATAGCATCAAATGGAATTTTTCGTTTAATATCAGAAGCAATGGTATTTAAAATAAATATTGATTGATTCCTTATTTTTTTATTATTACATGCATCATCTCCTATAAACAATTATTTAAATGAGAAAAATTACTTTGCTTTAATTACAAAATTATTATCAAATAATTAGATAAATTAATTGCATAATTAGATTAATTAATCAAATTTATTTGTAATAAAATTTAGTTATAAAATATTTATCTTTTTTAGATAATTGATAGAGGTAGAAATTAACAGATTTAAGAAAAATATAGTTCATTTATCTTTCTCTCTCTTTTCTATTCATTTTATAAAAAATAATGTATAAGTACATTAAATAAAATATAACATACCTGAATTATAATCCACAGATGATTCAAATTTCCATTCCTCTATAATAAATGTTAACAATTTTTGTTGATCAGTTTTGTTCAATGAACGCATTAATTTAACAAAGCTTTGTTTCGCTTCATTTAAATTAACTGACGTTTCCCCATTCATTTTTTGTTTTACAAAGAAAAATAAATTTTATCGGTATATTTATATATAAAAATTTAATAATAATTTGCATACGCAGAATTTACATCCAAAAAATTTACATTATTTTAAAAAAACTTTTTATGCATACATAATATCTTATAAATAAAACATAATATCTTATGGATTATTTATAAGATTTAATCTTCTTTTTTTAATATCGATCTTTTAAATTTCCATCCAAGGTAATAATAAAATATCACGCTTTAGATTAGACCAAAATGCAGTTGATATCATCCTGAGGAATAAAGTAACTAGGACTATTTATTTCTTTTCATGAGAATTTTCATATCAATATGAAGAAGTATTTCATGTATCCTCATTCAATTAGATAATCTTTGCAATAATGAAGCTTGAGAGTCAGCGGCCATTCAAATTTATCTGGTCTGATAGGATTGGACCTAAGGAAAAAATAATTCCAAAAATTTGACTCATCAAATAAAAAGAAAAAATCATATTTATATTAAAAATTTATATTAAAAATATAAAAAATATATTTAATAATATTAATTATATTATAGAAATATACATATTATACAGACTATAATAATTAACAAATGACAGAAAAGAAAAGCTAGAAGACCAAAAAAGAAAAATGACACCAATAAACTAACTATTAACTAACTAAAAATTAAAATAATTAATAAATTTAATCAGGCATTAGTAATATTAGCATTCCAATTAACTATCTTGTAAACACAGAATATAATTGCTATACAGAATGTCCGGTAATAATCATATCACCTCTTGTAGATAGAGAACTATATTGAATCAAAAAGTTTTTTACCATTTTGCAAGTTTCACAATAATTAAAAAGTTATTTATTTATAAAGATTCGTGAATAAACATGCGTTCTATGAGAAAACATAGCCCAGCGTCTCGCGCATTTACGATTGCTAGGCAAGTCAGTGAAAGGAGAGCTCTATAAACAGCAATGGCTAATTATGAAAATATAATAATAATGTCTTCCTTGATTTCTTTAAGAAAATATTGTTTCTAGAATTAAAAAAAATTATTTTTATAAATTTTCTTTTCGGAAACTATGCGGATTTATTTTAAATTTTGTACACATAGTGATACATATTTTATCTATTATTAATAATGTTTGCAAGTAAACGTAACGAAAATTATAATAGTTAAATATTAAAGGAATTCGCGTGTCCGAGCGCATATTATTTTATGGCTCCCATGAAACCTAAAATCTCAGATTTGAAACGAAAAAATGAATAACATTATTAATTCACAGATGTTCGATTCGATATCATCGTTTGAATTAAAATTATGAAAAAACTATTTTTTCAATAATTTTAAGATATGAAAAAATTGTATTTAAATAATTATATTTTAAAATTGCTAGAAGAGTCGATCATTTACATTAGTAGTTTACATTAAAAATAAAATAAAAATTAATATTTTAATTTCGTTAGTTTCAGTGATAATTGAGCATCTATATATATTAATAATCATATTTACTTTTTTAGATCATCTGAGTGTTCAGATTTTATAGGAACTATAAAATAATATGCCCTTGGACATGTCGTGCGAACATTTTTATAATTATTAAAATTTCCATTATTTTTACTTATAAACATTATTAAGATAAAATATGTACAATTATTATATATATACAAAATTTAAAATAAATCGTCCACATAGTTTCTAAAAGAAAAATTGGTAAAAATAGTTTTTCTTTTAATCCTTGAAATAATCTTCTTTATTCTTCTTTAAAAAAAACAAGGAAGCCATCATTATATTTTCATAATTATTCCATGGATGTTAGAGCTCTCCTTCCATTAACTCGCCGCACACCTAGCAATTGCAAACGCTGGGCTGAGCTTTTCCATAAAACGCATGTTCATGCGAATTTTTATAAATTAATAATTCTTTAATCTTGCGAAACTTGCAAAATGATAAAAGACTTTTCAATTCGTATAGTCCGTTCTATCTGCCTACGAGAGGTGATATCGTTATTGGTATTATCGGACACCCTGTACAACTCCTATAAAAATAACATGTGATGTGTATAATAGATAATATATCTTACTCAGTCAGCAAAATCTGTTCAAACAAATTTTGCCAAACTTGTTACAAATTTTTGTTAGCAGAAAAATTACAAATTGTATACAAAATCATATTAAATAGTGATAGCAAAATGTCAATAGTAATGTTACAAAATCTATTGACATAATTTAACAGAAGATCGGTAACAGAAATTGATTTATTAAGATTTATTTAGAATTACACTAAATTGGTAGAAACTGCGCAAAGTTTAATGTTAGATTGGTGACAGAAATCAAGCAGGATTTGCATAATGTAATTTGACAACAGATAACAGCAGAAATCGAGTAAATTCTGCACAATCATTAAATACAATATATAATTGCACAATATATAATTGCAACACGAAGTTGCGTTTGCTTCTTATATATAAAATTTGTCAGATTCTCTATGTATTAAAATCATTATAATTAAAATTCAAATGTGATATTATTTATGTATCTTTTATGTATGCACTTGATGCAAAATGATTATATATATATATTTACAACAAAGAAGTTAATGGATATAGTAAAATCAGTGTACATATAAAACCTAAAGCCATGGCATCTAAAAAAAAATGCATAATTTATTTATACTATATATTAGAATATATTAATTTTTCTATAAGATAGTTAAAAATTCTTTTCAAATAAAAAATTAAAAAAATAAGTAAATCTAGTAATCGTAATAGAAGTAATAAATAGATAATTTTCAAGATTAGAACTAATAATGTCACAATTTAAATAATCACAAAAGTTTATTTGATTTCTGCTATCAATTTGCTGATAGGCCAATCAAGGACCAATTCGTCATATCAACAAGTTTTACTTGGTTTCTACTACCAATCTATGTTTGGATGTATTTTTCAGATTCTAGAATAATTATATAACATGTTATATAATTATTTGATATCATACGTGATTTTATGCCAATTACAATTCCAATTTCTTACCGCTTGTGAATATAATTTCAGATAGCTAAGTTTGTTAAAAACAGATCACATCAAATATTTGTTATTATCACTTATCTATTATTATATTGTCTGCAAAAAGGCTACAGCAATTGGTACAGAAATTATTATACTAAGTATACTATTACTAAATTGACAGATTGATGCTAAAAACTAAACAGAGCCTGCAGAATAAATTGGTGGTAGAAACCGAGCAGGATTTGTTAATATGATTTGATAACAGATTATTGGCAGAAATCAAACATAATCTGCAAGCGCAGAATTTGATGACAGATTGGCAGTAAAAATCGTGTGAAACATTTTAATGCTACTGCATTTTGCTACTGATATAAAACAGTGCATTTAAATGAATAAAAAGTTTTGATGTTATTTTTGTAAGTAATATCAGCAATGAAATGTGTTAAAATTATATTTATCATAAGTAAAAATTATACAGATTAAAATAAAAGACATAATTATGAAATTTCACTCATGTTCTAATGAAACATTTTGAAGATTAGCCATCATTCAACATTTTATCTAACAAATATTTTTCGTACATAATATAATAAAAACCAATTTTATTATCTCAAGATTGATTGATCATTTTCAGATCACATACTCATAAATATACATCACTTTTGTTGTCACCAGAAATTTATGTTAGTTACATGATAATGGTATATCAATCATTTTTCAAATACCAGTTATGACATTGCTAATGACTGTATTCAAGTCAAAAAACAATTTTGCAACTGTTGTAAGATTATTTAGTATGATTGATTATTATTCTTACTTCCTTGCCTTCTAAATATATAAATCATATTATATTAAAGAAACTTATAACAGTTGCAAAGCTGCTTTCTCTGCTGAACTCAATATAACATGTGACAAATCATAGTACTTGCCACGTACGACGCCAACAAGGTTTGCACTAACAAATGCACTATTTTAAATGATAAAAGCTGCAGACATATAGACCTATAGACCTATAGAGTTTGTGCAGTTTTTGCCAAATCTGTTGTCAAATTATGTGCATACAAATCTTGCTTGGTTTCTATCAACATCAAGCCATATCTTGTATACCATACCAAATCTTGTTTGATTTGCATTGCCAATCTGTTATCAGATTGCGTGAGCAGGCTCTGCTAATAATTCATAAGCTTAATGTGGACATGCTAATTTTCTAGCAATAAATCTGTTGTCTATCTGCTAGTATATTGGATATTTTATTTACTGGAATACGTCAATAAGTCATAATACAAGATTCATAGTAGATAAATTCTGATAACATAGAATAATTGTTATCAGAAATAATTTTTTTTCATTGTATTGAACATTATATAAAGTAATGGAAAAATATTCCTTATATGACTTATATAATATTTGTTAAGTTTAGGCAAGTTTATTAGTTCATTGATTGATTAATTGCATAATGCTTAAATGCTGCTTTTATAGAGTTGCATTTGCGCATAACGTGATTTATTAATCAATAAATTAAAAAACTCGCCTTACTTTTGATAAGTTATGATAAAATTATTTTGTTTATAAATTTAAAATTATTCTTGATTGCAAAAATTATATTAAATGTACAGCGTTCACTTTCTAAAAGAGCTAATGATATGAGTTAGATTTTTTTGGCATTTAAAATTCATATTTGTTATAAAGTTTTTATAAACAATGATAATCTTATACTTCGGCAAAAACGGAGTGATTCAAAATCAAAGATTCTGTTAACTTCTTTCTATATAAAGTTTTCTTATATGTCCAAAAGATATAATTAAGTCCTTATAATTAACAATCACATGCACAAGTAAGTAAATTTGGAATATTAATTTTGAAGAGAACTTTACAAGAAGAGAATTTTACATTCGTAAAAGAATAATTCGTAATTATTCTAATAAGCTTACACAAATTTTTCCTTTTAAAAATTATTTCCTCAAACAAAAAAGGCAACGCCAGAAACCAGCTCCATAGAAACAACATGATATAAGAATGTCCAGGCTGCGTTCAGAAATTCCACCGGAGTGCACTATGAGTGCGTTCAGGGAGCTTGCTACCGTGCTACCAACGCAAACGCTACCAAAGACTGTTCGTGGACCACAGAATATATACTAAAAGAAATGAAAGCTCATAAAATGGACAACAATACAGCACTACAATCAGGGGATCGATCATGTAACTTTTCCCCTAGGGCGGAAACGTGAAAAGTGAAAAATTTCACGTGAACTTACGATCATATACGATTTTGCGGAATCATGTAACTCTCTCAAACGTGAAAATATGAAATTTTTCACATGAATTTTTCGCCATGTACCTTGGTGGGGGAAAGGCGGAAAGCTAGGGAATTAATAAATATGCTTCGGAATTAGAAAAGATTAAGGCCGCGTTAGGATTAAGTATATGTAGTACATTGGTTATTAAAAGATATATATAATACTGTACCAATAAAATAATTTTCATTAGCTATAAAATCTATGAAATTATGTTTCATGATTTCACTTTCCACGCATTCAAGCTACATACATAATTGCTGTACGTGAAAAGTTTCACGTGAAATGTCAAGGTGTGAAAAATGAAAAGTAAAAAGTGAAAAATGAAAAGTGAAAAATTTCACATAAAGTTACATGATTGACCCCCAGAGGAGTGACACCGTTTGATCACGTCCTGATTGACCACTAGTCACTCACAGCGCTTGAACAGTGGAAAAATTCTAGGCGCCAGCCTCTGTAAGTAGCTAGTGATCAATCGGGACGTGATCAAACGGGTGTTACCCCAATCAGAAACTGGCCATGATTCTGATCCGCCAATCAGAAACTCTGATTTGCCATGTTTTGATTAAATCCTACGAGAAAGAAAGAAATATACATCTCACTCCAGCCAATAACGTGTTTTGGTTAGAGTGAAAGAAATATACATCATCTCATTCTAACCAATAGCGATATTTTTTTGCATGTGCATTGATTTAAGTGTATTGTGCATGTGTATTAAACATGTGGAAAGCCTGATAATATATTATTAAATAATAGAAATACTAAAATTACAAAATATAGTCATAAATTAATTAATTGTGATAAATATAAAAAAATGGATGTTCATTTTTTTACTTAAATTTTATTTTATATTGTAATAAAATTTATTTATAATAATAACAAATATGTATAATAATCCTTTCTAAAAAAAGGCATGACATTGATACTTGCATCTTTCGAAATTTCCTCGAAGTTTATTGTTGACGCTTTTCCGCGATGAGTTCTCTCGCTGCGCTATCTTTGTGAATAGCTGTCATCGTATTAATTTCACAGAGGATCGTTTTGACAATTGTGTATCAAAAAGTTAAAAATATTATAGTATAACAATAGTATAATAGTATTATATTAAATTTTGCTCTTGTGTTGAAAAAGATAAATAACAAAAAAAATAAATAAATAAATTTAAAATCGTAAAAATTAAAGGATATATATTAATCAATTGATAATATAATTATGTAAAATAAAGTTTTATAAATATACATATTTTATTACCTTTAAAACGCTTATGTTTTTAAATTATAATATTATAATTTAAGATTAATGTAGTTAATATATTTGAAAATAGTGGGAATAGCCAAAAGATGGCGGCCCAATCAAAAGTTGCTTTTTCGTGGCCAGTCTCTGATTATAGTGTCTCTCGGCAACAATAGAAGATAATATAGAAGATATTAAAGAGACCCTTTAATAAGAGTCTGGCTATCAAAAACTCGATTTTGAAGCGTTTTGATTGCCATTTTTTTTCTAATTTAAGAGAGATAGCTTCAGCGCAAGCTGAAGTGATGAAACATATATAACCTCAGAAAAATTTAGGAAACATTCGAATATTATTCAGGCAGATTTTATTTTTCGTAGATTATGACACAATTTTTTTTCTTTAATAAAATCTTAATAAAATTATTTTTAGATTTGTAACGTATGTCTTTATAAAAATCGAATACTGAAAGGTAGTGATTGATTACTCAACTTCAATATTGTAAGAAGTTCCCAAGGCAATCGATGGCGCCAAAAGTACTGTTCTTCGGCGTCAAGTACGGTACGCGAGCGACCTTAGCGCTAGAGTTTGTCAGCTAGATTCGTCTGCTCGATTTTGATATGTTACGCAGACCGCTGATGCAACTTATGTTTGTCTAGGAACCATCTAGCTCCGTTTTTCGGAGCAGCGGCGAGCCGATACTGGTGCTGCAACAAGGAGAATTTGATGTTATATAGAGTGATGTGACACAGAGAGGCACTGTAAGACACAGTTATAGAGTTTAATTGGAACGGGTGACACCCGTTTAACTACGTCCCGAGTGACCACTAACAGCGCTTGAACAGCGGAAAAATTTTAAGCGCCAGTCCTTGTGAGTGACTAGTGATCAATCGGGAGGTGGTCACCCAATTGGAACACATAAATTACTAAACACGCTCACTAGAGAGCGTAAAAGACTGTGACGTAGGAGAAGACAATCACGCACAAACATGAACGCAGATTCGACTATAGTAGCTATATAAGACCGGTTCTAACTCGAAAGCTCCGAGGGGGGTAGAGAGGCAGAGGGAGGGTTCCGCGACGCGGGGTACTCTATAAGCGATGGATGCGGGATCCACGGGGCAAGGGAGGGGAAATGCGTCACTAGGCGCGGGTCTGCGAAGCGAGGGGTGACGTCACCGATGCGGGGTCCGCCGTCGCTGCCGCCGCCGCCGCCGCTGTCATCATGTTCTCTCTCTTACCATTTTTCTTCTCTCTTCCTTCCTCTTCTCTCTTCCTTCCTCTTTTCTTAAGTTCTCTCTTTTTCCATCAAGGTATCTCGTTTTGTCTTGATATTTTTTGTAATTTTAATTTTTTAAATTAATTATTTTATTTAAAATTAATTATTTATTTAAAATTAATTATTTTTTTAAAGGAGATTTTTTTAAATATTACTTAGTAATTTAAATTTATTATTATGATATTATTAGTGATAAATTTATTATTAGTGATATTATTATTCGCGACAAGATGCGTCGCGAACGCGACTCATTATCGCAGCGCAACCTGAAACCGCTGAATTGAAAGGAAGAATGGAGAATAAATCGAGTAATATTTATCATAATATACATTTATTGGTCATGTAATGCATAGTGTACAATATTATCTATTGCGTATGCTGATTCACAATCTATAATCGAAGTTTTGTTCTTAATTT